GATCCTCATGCCCTTCTTGAAGAGGTCCGATCACTTCAGCACGAGCTATATGAGTCTCGTGAAAGAAATGCGGAGCTTGCTGAACGCCTCATTGTTGCCTACACACAGCTTGTTCTGGGATCTCAGTACAATCACCAACTACGACGCCAGTTAGCCAACAAGGAGAACAAGAAGAAAACAACCAGCCACAAGCTCCTAGGTGAAGGGTTGCCACGAATACTCACTGATCCAGAGTTCCGGGCCCTTGTTGAAGAGAATGAGGCAAACCGAAAGATGGCTCAGCAGGAAAAGCAAAATCGAGAACGTGCTCATCAGTTAGCTGAAGCACGCAAGGAAATTGAGAAGAATGCATGGGAGAGGGCCAAGAAGATCCATGAGGATGCAGTCCAGGCTTGGGAAGAGGAGACATCAGAACTCAAGGTTGCCAAAGTCCCAAAGAAAAATTGGCCTAATAAGCCACCACGCCCACGGAAAGCTGCAGTGCTTGCTGCAATTAACATGAGTGAGACACTCGAAAGCCCTGGGAATGATGGGGAAGAAGAGGGAGAAGTGTTTGATATAGGTTCTAATGAGGAGGAAAGCGAAGAGGAGGCTGAGGTTGACTAGAGCGGGATATATGTCTATTTTCCCACGGCTGTGCACATCGGCGGACCCCCCGAAAAACAAGCCCCCTCAGAAAAAATCATTTTTCAAGCTCATTTCTTCATATTTCAACTTCAAATTTTATACAGTAGTAGGCCAGAAGCTACTTTACAAGATCATGTCTTTTGTTTGGAGTTCTACAATTTCAACATGCGTGTATGGACAAAATATGAATACTGTGCATTTCGGAAGCAAATGACTGTAGAAAGACAGAATAAAAGGAAGGAAGAACAAGAACTAAAGAACAGTGGTAAAGGATGAGAAATAAAGATAAGCAGGATACCAGGTGAGGGTGGGTGGAGCCGGGTTAGGTGGGTGTGCCCTGACAAGATTGGAGCGGATGGGGATAGGGTAGGACTCTGGAGGAGGTGGGATGGGGATCCAGAAGTCGAATCAGGATTGGGTATGTATGGATATAACATGCAGGAGGAACGAGCTGCTCATAGATGTTACATGTTATTGAAGTGTCTGTGCTCTTCTTGGTTGATGAGAAGGGTGGAGCATTCAGTCTGCCCATATTTCATCAAGTGAAGCAAGGTCAAATCGTTCTGGCTAGCAAGGAGGGTGGAGCACTCAACCTCAATGCATCCCCATTTCCAAGCACAAGAAGAGTGTGTTCCCTGGATTTCTGATTAAGACCCATCGTATAGACGATACCTCTTAACATACACCAACCAAAATGCCAAGTGTGGTACCTCAATTGATTATGTTTTCCACAGAATCCTTTAATTATGAGCTCCGACAGTTCCCCAAAATGACCAACCCAAGTACCCATGCTTCACAAATGAAGCAGCCATACTCGGACCATCCCTGATTATCGGGCCTTCAGTGGTTCTGCACTGAAGAAGAGTAACCCCACTCACTCCTGAGTCGTCTCCGACTCCAGAACCACCCCAGTAGAAGCGAGGACAGTTCCAGGTCCTTCCACAAATATTGCCCCAGTAACTCCCCCTGTGATCTTTGCAAATATATCTTGACTTTGTGATGCAGCAAAACAACTTCCATCCTCCACCCCTGGAGTCCAGGTTCAGTTTTTGGACAATACAGCATCACATTGATTGTGCACACCTTATTATATGCAATGCCTTCAGATGCATGGGAGGGGGAAATTAACCCATGGCTTGACCAGCACTTTGGAGTTTGGGCTATGGGATGGCTGGGGGCTATTCAGAAGTTGGTGAATCAGATTTCAGTTGGTCCTCATGGCCTTGATGGCTTTATAGAAATTCTCCAGTGGCTAGTAGGCAACAGCTACACCGTGGATGCCATGCTTGGGGGGAAGGTGGATAACATAATTTGTGCCATTGACTTTGTGTATGTATTCCAATTCTTCTAAGAGAGGTGTCATTAGAACTGGGCGAGAGTGGATGATTCCGGAGTGGAACTGGAGACTTAGCAAGGAGGGACCTTGGCCTCAGCGACTCAAGGGGAGCACTGTGCCATTGCTGTTTGTCCATTTGGTCCTTAATTTCAGAAGTGGCGAGCAGGAAGTCTCTAGGGGGCATTTCTGGTCGATTTTAGACTGAGGGTCCAAAATGAGTATGTACAAGTGATATAATGGGGAGGCGAAAGCACAAGGAAGTCAAAGGGGGTCCAAATCGGAACAAAGGCATCCAAACAGAGACAAAGGGGATTACAGAAGTGGAGCGGTACCGAAGGTCATGGGTTAGACTCTATGGTACATCCAAAAGGAGGTAGGGAGGGCGAAGCCCAGAGGGGCAGGAGAATGAGGTGAAGTGGGGTTGATGACTTACTGGCTGAAATGGAAGGAAGCAGTAGTCCAAATAGGGATGAGGGGAAAGTGTGAAAGATACAGTACAAGCGGTGAAAGTGCCAAGAACGGTCTGTGGAGCTCGGAGGTAGCAGAGCTTACAGAGGTTGTGGAGGTTGCAGAGGCAGAGTCAGAAGTCCAAGGAATATTGGCAATGGTGTTTCCATAGAATGAGGTCACCAATGCAATGGACTTAAGCCAAGGTGGAGTCAAAGTCTGAGGTCAGGACCATGACAGAATCTCGGAGCAAAGGTATGGGCAGTGTCCGAGTATGCAGTATGGGACGGTGGCAGGAGGTCATAACTTGGTGGAGGTTGGTGGAAGAGGGATGGAAGGAGAGGAGTAAGAGGAGGAACGAGGAGAGGAGTGACAAGTGACGAGAGGAAGGATGGGAGGAGTGAAGAGAGGAGATGACAAGAGGAGTGATGAGAGGAGGGAGGAGAGGAGAGAAGTGATGTGAGGAGTGAGGGGAGGAGTGATGAGGGGAGTGATGTCCAGTCCGAAGGTGGATATTGGAGTGGACAGGAATAGGGTAGGACTCCAGAGGTGGTGGAGCAGAGGGTCCGGAGGTCGGATAGGGATCGGGTATGTACAGATATGACAGGTGCGAAGCCTAGAGTCAATGTGGCAAAACAGCATGTCGATATCATGGCACTGTCACAAAATCCCAATGCCAGCCTTCCAGCATCTGCCCCCACAGACATCCTATTTCATGACCTCTCTCCACACTCCAGGCCCACTAGCCAGTCAAGCCACATGGCACCTACCAGTTCAACTGCTCCAAAAAGGGGCATCTCGCCTGAATGGGACAGTCACATGTTGGTTAAGGAACTGGCTAAGAAGAAGCACAGAGGTGGCAAGTTGAGTTGGCATTGAAGAAGAAAGAGTTCCTACAGTATTTGGAGGAAAAGGGCAATGAATGGGGGGTTTCTTCTGTGTTTCTGCTGGACAGCATGAATCTCAGCGATCTCATATCCATGCATACCCAATCCTGATTTGACTTCTGGAACCTCCTCTTCACTACCTCTGGAGTCCTACCCTATCCACATCTGCTCTGATCCCCACCTTCAGACCTGACATCTCCTTCCTCTCCTTCCAACTCTCTTCCACCAACCTCTGCCAAGTTACAACCTTCTGCTGCCCTCCTGTACCCCATACTCAGACATTACTCGTACCTCTGCTCTGAGCTCCCATCATGGTCCTGACCTCAGACTTTGACTCCACCTTGGCTTAAGTCCATTGCATTGGTTACCTCATTTCATGTAAACACCATTGCCAATATCCCTCAGACTTCCAACCCTGCCTCCACAAGCTCTGTAAGCTCTGCTACCCCCAAGCTTCATGGACCGTTCTTGGCACCTTTGCTGCTTGTAGTATACATTTTGCACTTCTCCCTCATCCCTATTTGGACTACTGCTTCCTTACATTTAGCCAGTTGGCCATCAACCCCACTCCACCTCATCCTCCTGCCCCTCTGGGCTTCGCCCCCCTTACCTCCTTTTGGATGTGCCATAGAGTCTAACCCTTGATTGTCATATCCATACAATCCTGACCTCCACTCTGGGCTCCTGGAACTCTGAAACTGACTCTGGAGCCCCACTTCCCTTCCTTTACCTTCTCCTTGCCAACTCCCAAGGGGTTATCCTGCCTCCAGCTCCAACACCACGTTTGGTCCGACTCCAGACCATTCCAGGTCTGACCTCAACCTCAACACCTCCCAGATGAGCATGCAACATCTATGTTCCCAACTCTGGACCTCTGCTCCAGAATCCCATTCATGTCTCCATCTCCAGAACCTCCAGTCTTAGCTCCAACCTCGGACTTTGACCCCACCTCTGCTTATACCCATTGTATTGGTCAGCCGATTCCATTTATTTACCTTTGCCAATATTCCGGAGTTTGACTTCCAAGTTTGGACTTTCCGGACTTACTTCAGACCTTGCAACTATTGCATTGTCCCATTCAATTTCGCTATTCTCCCTCATTCCTATTTGGGCTGTAACCTCAGTCTGAAATTGACTTGATTCCCCCCCAAGAGACTTCCCCTTTGCTAGATCCAAAATTAGGGACCCCCAGGACAACCAGCAATGGCACAGCACTCCACCTGAGTTGCTGAGGCCAAGGTCCTTCCATGCTAAGTCTCTGATTCCATTCTGGAATCGTCCAAATCTGCCATATCTAACATTGACCTTCGGTACTGCTCCACTTCCGTAACTCCCTTTGTCTCCATTCAGACACCTTTGTTTTCCTGGGCATTCGTCCCTCTATTATATACAGACACTTGTACATACTCGATTGACCCTCAGTCTAAAATCAACTAGAATGCCCCCTAGAGACTTCCTCCTCGCTATGTCTGAAATTAAGGACCAAACAGACAAACAGCAATGGCACAGCACTCCCCTTGAGTCGCTGAGGCCAAGGTCCCTCCTTGCTAAGTCTCCAGTTCCACTCTGGAATCATCCACACTCGCCTCATTCTAACAAGTGAGAGTCTTCGAACTTTGAACACCACCATTGCTTGGAATAAGTTCCAGCATGACTTCACCCAGGACTGTGAGGGGGATTATTCTGCCATGAAGGTGTCAGCCATGTTCAACAAACTTTGTGATGAGCATGGCGGTGAAGGCTTGGAGGACTGGAAGGATCACTGCAAGAAGATGGCAGCACAGTTCAACATGGAGAAGCAAGAGGCAATCAAAGACATGGCTCTTGTTGATAACAATCAAGCAGTTGCCATGAAACGGCTTGAGGGAGAACTCAGGGGCACCATTGACCTCACTCGACATGCAGACATTTTGTGTTTTGTGGGTATGGTGTCTGGAGAACCATCATGCATGGAAAGAATATCATCCTTTCAATGACTTCATCATGCAAAACTTCCTTCATGACCATTGCAAGCTGAAGCAGCTGGAAAGTGATTTCTATTTGTATGTTCTCACCCATCAGGGTCAAGGAGACGCAGTCATGAGAGAGAAGCAAGAAAGCAGAAAGTGGAGACTTCAACTTGCAACTGTGCTCACCAAGCATTTGGTCAGATGTTCAAGGGGTGCTTTTCTCCACCACTTGACTTGATTCCTTGGAAGACCCTCCCACTTATGCTCATCAAGCAGAAGGTGGCTATCCATAACTGTCCCCCGAATATCTTCCTTGATCTCATTTGAAAGGGTGGTGACTATGCGAAAGTCAAGCAGTGGTGCATCCTCTATGATGCTGTCGGTGGAGAAGCTCCAGCTGAAAGGTATGCAGAGTATGGGAAGAATCATTCCCTGAAGCTGGTGGATGTCATTCCTTGGAGTGCTGAGGATGGAGCTCGCATTCCAAACAGTAAGGACTACAAGGACATTGTCTTGCTTCAAGACAATCAAGGGGCTGGGGGTCATCAGGGTCATGTGTTGTTGACCATACGTGATGTCTCTGGTCTTCTTTCAACAAATGAAGCACCTGGTTTGGCTGATATTCAGCTGACTACATCCACTATGGCTGTTCAAAGTCCATGCTCCCTGCTGGCAACACTAAGTGTGTCTCTGTTAGATCGGGCAGATTTGGACGACTCCAGAATGGAATCAGAGACTTAGCATGGAAGGACCTTGGCCTCAGCAACTCAGGTGGAGTGCTGTGCCATTGCTGGTTGTCCTGGGGGTCCCTAATTTCGGATCTAGCAGAGGGGAAGTCTCTTAGAGGGGAATCAAGTCGATTTCAGACTGAGGTTACAAGTTACTAAGTACATTGTATATGTATAAAGGAGGGGTCTGGAATCAAAAGGAGCAAGGGTAGGATGAAAGGAGACAAAGGGAGCTGGAAGGAGGAACAACACCAAGGGTCAAGGGTTTGACTCAATGGTGTTTCCCAAAGGAGGAGTGAAGGGCCCCAAGGCCCGAGGAAGGAAGGAGGTTGGGAGTCAGGAATGGCTAGCTGACTGAATAGAAAGGAAGCAGCAGCCCAAATAGGAATGAGGGAGAATAGCAGAATTGAAATGGGACAATGCAATAGTTGCAAGGTCCAAAGTCCGGAAAGTCCGAACTTGGAAGTAAAACTCCGGAATATTGGCAAAGGTAAATAAATGGAATCGGCTAACCAATACAATGGGTATAAGCAGAGGTGGGGTCAAAGTCCAAGGTTGGAGCTAAGACTGGAGGTTCTGGAGACGGACCAAAGGTGGTGTCAGAGCCGGAGGTGGGATAACCTCTTGGGAGTTGGCAAGAAGAAGGTGATGGAAGGGAAGTGAGGCTCCAGAGTCGGCTTCAGAGTTCTGGGAGCCCGGAGTGGAGGTTGGGATTGTATGGATATGACAGTCTCCCTCTCACTTTCTGCCTTCGACTGTGACAGGATCAATGTCTGGGACTCTGGACCCAATGGCCAATGTACCACCTTTCATGCTGCCAGTGGAGCTGCTGCTGCTATCTCACTCTTCATCCAGCATGTTTGACTTGCCGCTTTTAAATATGCTGACCTTCAGGACTGGTATTCCAACCTTGACTCACCACCAAACTACAGACATAAGTTTTGATGGTCCAGGGGACTTCACTTGGTCTTAGGGCATAGAGATGTCCCTTTGCCTCCTCATTTGTTCTGTTGTTTGGCTGCTCATATCTTCACTTGCCCTATTCTTTCATTTTCTACTCACTTTTTACATTACCTGATTAATCTGTTCACTGTCATATCCCATAATCCTGACCCCACACTCTCCCACCCCACTACACCTTCCTAACAACCTCATCATCCCCTACACCATACCTGCCTACCTCCCAATGTCACCCTCCATTCCATACTGTCTCAGCTCTGGCCTGGACTTCGGCACATTCACCCTTAGCCACCCCCATCCCGGAAGCTTGGTCCTGAGTCGAAACATTTGGAACCTCCAGACTTGCTCCGACCTCCCAACGGACCTCCGACATCTTGTCATATACTTCTAAACCATTCCTCTTTCCATTTCATTTAGTGGAGTCACCCAACATTCTTCAGATATGTAACTCCAGCTTCGGAGCTACCCATATCCTCTGGTGACCCCGCTCTCATCATCTTAAATTAGTCACCTTCCATTTATAGTATGACTGTTGTCTTCTTTCCATTCAGTCGGCTAACTTCCCCTTACCCATTTCTCATTCCCATTTATCCTCCGGCCTTCTACTCTGCCCTCCTCAACCCAACACCTCAGTTCCCTGGTAAAGATATCATTCAGAACCTTTGGTACTTCTTGGTATCACTCAGACTTTGACTAAAGTCCTTCCCCTCCTCCCTCTATATATACCTGTAGATTAGAACTCATTGTACCTCAGTTCTAATCTCGACTAAAACTCACCCCAAGTCCCCCCATGAGTGATTCATGACCCCTCCTACAAGATACCTCAGACATCTGAAATTAAGGACTAACTGAGACATAACGGAGGCACAGCCCTCCCTCCAAGTCGCTGTGGCTGCATCCCTCTTAGAGCTTCTTGTAACACCCAGCAGACTGGAGAAGCTCCAGTCCACTACCGGAGCTCTCAGAAACCCCTCTAGTTGAGCCCCATCTGCACTCAGATTGTCTCGTGGTTTTGACATTCACTCTGCCCAACTCCTTTCATTCTTTGATTACATTTATGCTACTTATTTACATGTTAATTGATTCACTGTCTTTTCAGGGCACCTATTTTGCATTGCTAAGCCTGCCCAAGAGGTGGTTTTTACCTTGGGGCCCCCACATTGATCTTGGGGCCCACTGCCCTATGTGGTGTTTCATGGGGCCCCTTGGTAAAAACCACCTCTTAGGTAGGCTTAGCAATGCAAAATTAGTACCCTATAGGGCCTCACCCCTGGCTGAGCAAGGTGACAGGACCTACATCTCCCCACCCCTGCAGCACAGAGAGAGGCAGGACCTGGCAACTACACATGAAGACAAACTCTATGGGAAAACTTCTTCCCACCCCCACCCCACCTTACTAACCAACCACCCATCTCCCTAGACCCAAGAAACAATGACATTGAGTATGTCAGTGTCACAAGGAGAGAGATCCGTGACATGATATTCACTGCAGCCCAGCTAAGTGCTCCAGGCATCTCAGGCCTCACAGGCCAGGCCTGGAGATGAGCATGGAAGACACTAGGAGATGAGATCTTCCATCTCCTGAGACTATGTGCAGATTCAGGATACCACCCAAAACTATGGCACATGGCAATAGCAGTAGCCTTGCAGAAACTGAACAGAGATTACTCCTTACTGAGATCCTACAGACTGATCCAACTGCTCAAAGTATCAGGAAAAGCCCTAGAAAGAGTGCAAGCCGGCAGATTAGCATACCTAGCTGCCAAACAACCCTATTCCCCACCACCCAATATGGTGGCATTCCAGGCAGATCAACACAGGATGCCCTACTCACTATAGTCCACAATATCAAGGCAACATGGAATCATAAAAAAGTGGTGTCCACACTCACCTTTGACATCACAGGCTTCTTCAACCATATTCCACACTCCCACCTTATCAACACCCTCAGATCCTACCACATCCCACTGCCCATAGTAAAATGGGTACTCAGCTTCCTCCAAGACAGACAGGCTGTCATATCCATCCATGGCCATCACCCTCCACTACCTCCAGCCCTTCCGGATTGCCTCCACTCCTTCGTCACTAACCTCAGAGCCTCTGGATTCTGCAATCACCTCCGACTCCCCGATGGTCACCACCCCCTCAATTCAATATATTACCTATGCCTCCCTAATGTCATATCCATCCCCAGCCATCGACTTCCGGTTCCTCTGACCCCTCCGGTCTAACTCCGCTCCTCCCTCACTAACCTTGGAGCTCCCGTATTCCGCAATCCTCTCGGTACCCCTCGATGGTCACCACCCCCTCATTTCAATTTATTACCTATGCCTCCCTAAGTACGGAGCCCCGAAGACTTCCAGACAGCTCCGACGTCCGCTAGCGCACTCCCGCCTCCGCTGGGCAATACACTCGCCTGCCCTGCAGAGCCCACCTTCGGGCCTATCCCTCCTTTCCGTTTCTGGGTTATCGCCTGCCTTTCCACTAACCCCACGACCCGACTTGTCGGTAATATTCAGTTGGCTAATGTTTAAACCCCGTTAGCTCCGCTCCGTTTGGCTCTGCCAATTGCGGACCCATCTTCGCTGTAACCATATATATATCCCACTTGTACATAGGTTACACCCCAGTAATAAAATCAACTAGAGTTACCCCCCCCCTTCGGTTCTGATTGCCAGTCAGTAAGTTAGGGCACGGACATGTCACTAGGCACAGCGCTCTTGGAAGAAGTCGCTGAGGCCAAAGCCCTCCGTCATGGAGACTCTCCCTCGTCTCGAATCTGGTCTCTGACACCTAAGTACAGAGCCCCAAAGGCCTCTGGACAGCTCCGACATCCACTAACGCACCCCTGCCTCCACTGGGCAATTTAGTTGCTTGCCCTGCAAGCCTACCTTCAGGCCGATCCCTCCTTTCCGCTTCTGGGTTATAGCCCGTTACTCTGCTAAACCCGTAACCTGAGTTGTCAGTAATATTCAGTCAGCTAACATGTAACTCCGTTAGCTCCGCTCCGCTCGGCCCCGTCATTCATGGGCCCACCCCCTATGTACATAACTTGTAGATAGGTTACACCCTAGTGATAAAATCGACTAGAGTTTCCCTCTTCTAGTTCTCATTGCCAGTTAGTAAATTAGGGCACGGATGTGTAACTAGGCACAGCACTCTTGGTCTAAGTCACTGAGGCCAAAGCCCTCTGACACAGGCAGCCATTTGCCTGGATGGTAAACAGGACCAGCTTAGACCCATTTCCATCAGTGTACCCCAAGGCTCATGCATATCCCCCATTCTAGCCGCTTTCTTCACCTCACTGATGTGCAAAGCCATCACTGAAGGAACACAAGCCAGAATCATGAGGGACACAGAGCTAAGCACTGAGTTCAAAAAAGGCCAAATCACTATCTTACCCCCCACCCTATATGTAGATGACAGCTCACTCTCAGTAGCAGCACTGTGAGGCCCCAGCCCATGTCTATATTCCGCCCACAACATCAATTGATGTTGTGTTGTCTGATATCTATGTCGTGATACTAATTTAGCGTCGCGGAAGCTTCTTTATTTATTTGTGCCGAGAATGCATTCAAACCCTCGGGGTAGCTGTAAAAGGTGGATCAGCCTTTACTTCTACCCCGTTAATATACAGCAACTAAAAGCGTATATCTTGACGGACTAACTGAGGCCTGAGGCGAATGGGGGAATGGAACGTACCGTCCCCAAAACAAGTAAGAAACCCTTCACTTTTTTATGCTCTATTCTCCTTTCCATTCTTGGCACTGCATTACCGGTGCTGAAACTCCATTTGGCAACATGTGCATCATCGGCCCCTGACAACACGCGACTTCGATCAAGTTCTCACATGAACTTGTTGAACGACTTGACACATCCTCTTGATGTTGTTGAGATACAACAGCAGGAGCACGTCTAACGCTCCTGCCAACACGGCCGGCCCCTCCACTGGCCATAGGGCAGAAGATGACACCACCTCAAGTGATGGTGGTGACCTGGGCCTGCAAGGGCCCAGTGACACATCGAATCTATCTGAGGGACGTTGACCAAGTC